TACAATTATATTGACAATGCATGAAACATATATGGAGTCATATATTGACACATATTTTCCAAATATTTTCCGTTTTGCAAGGGCTTGACCGACGCGTGACATGATTGTGACATAGATGTTTAAGTGCTGAATAAAACATTTGCAACTAAATAGGAGTCCAATATAGAGTAAGAAAGTAGATCTGTAGTATACATTCTCTGCTTAAAGACGAACAGTTGTGTCGTATGTCAACGCGAGGTCACACATGTGTCATGGGCCAACTGCCGCTACCTGCCGGTAGATGGCGCGCGTCACTCATAAGGCTCCTCCACAAGTGCTTTTCGTTATAATAAGTTATTTGAAAAAGAACCACACCTGAAAACGGCCCTCTAAATGCTTAATGCCGGTTCACAAATGTAGGGAACTTCCAAGGGAAGTTGCCGACCCCGCGCATAAATGCACTAGTAAGTGCATGCTTGGCAGGCACGCCCTAGCCAGAGCGTGCTTGCTTGCAGGCATGCTCCAGTTAGAGCATACAATGTACGCTATTCAATTTATGGAGTCCTCTTGCTTGGCCTCCTCTCGTTGCTTCGCCAGTCGTCTGGCCGCGGCGGCGGCGCCGGCCAGGACCCCTTCTCTTTCGTACATGCTCCGGGGCGTGGGACCTTGATGAGCAGAAAATCACAGGACAGAATCGTCATTGCTCAGAATCCTCCTGGGATAAAATCCTTAATGCATGGAAACCTGGCTGGATTTGTTAAATACTCCGATACTCACGTCCTCGTAAGACAGAAAGTCATTGCGCAGAATCCTCGCAGGACGAAACATCGTTACACGGAATCCTCGCTCTGGCGGACATCCGATTCACGGACCATCATCCCCCACACCGATTCAATCGGGTTAAGGTCAGGTGAGAATGCTGGCCACTGAAGCATCTCAACGCCCTCTTCACGCAGGAAGTTCATGGTGTGGCGGGCGGTATGGATGCCTGCGTTGTCCTGCATGAAGAGGATATCTGGAGGGCGGAGTGGTCGGACGGCTGGCAGCATCGTGTTCCTCAGCACGTTGATGTGGCCGTGTCTGTCCATTCTGGGGGCATTTCCGTCAAAGCAATGGCACCGCCGTCACAGGCGATACACCCCTAGAGACCACAGGTCACATGACCACTCGCTGCAACTTAAGTGATATCCTCGTCGTCGTATCTGCAACAGGAGAAATGTCCATGAGCCAGAGACAGATGGACCGCACTGCAGAACTGAGCGATGGGTTGCACCCTACCCTGCCGTGAGGGGTTCGGGCGAGATGCAAGCGAAAGCAGGGGGGGAAGAAAGGGTAGTCGTGGAAGGGTAGGCCCCCTTCAGGCTATAGGGTACTTTCGTAGATCCCTGAACCGGAAGCACACAGACGCTATGTTGGCGGAAGTAGATCCAAACTTAACATGGGAAAGAGACGTTAGTCAAACGTATCGGCCACATTTGAACATAAACAGTCGTTTGATACTTGTTTGCAGTGCATATGTGTTTCGCGAGCAATATTTGTACAGCTCGGCTATAGTTTCGGATCCGAAGGGAGGTTAGTTTCCGGCCAATTTGGCGTCTGCTAGTCTGCTTCCTTCCGGTTCAGGATCTACGAAAGTACCCTATTCTCGCACCCTTCCACATGTATTTCTCCATTTGAGTCAACGCTCAGTTTTTGTAACTTTGTCTTGGTGCCTCTCCAAAAAATATATGAAATAATGTTTTAAAATGGTGAAAATCATTAAGAAATTTAATAAAATTAACAACCAGTACCTAAGCACATGATCTTTCCAATACATTCAGCCCAAGAAGGCATTTTGACCCTCCTCATGGCCCCCACTTCGAATGGTCCCTCATCTCCAAATTCCGTGTCTTAGAAAGTATCTACAGGAGAGCGGTCAGGTGTGTAGACCAACGCATACCTTGGACCCATCCTGACTAGAACAACAAAAAGTCACATAATAGCGTCGGAGAAAACCTAGTCCTGAAGTCAGCGACGGAACGGGAGAAACAAAAGGGCGGCCGTGCTGAGCGGTGGAGGGGGTCGAGATGGGCGGAGTGGGGGTGAAGGTGGCGCGCGCACGCTGGCCCCCACTCTGCCCATTCATGCCATCACCACTCCACTCTACCAAAAATGTCCTGTAAATGCCGTTAATTTATTACCAGTTTTCACTGTAGGCCGAATCACAGCGTTTACTGTGATCTTCTCACGGGATTCACTGTGATCTTGTTCGCGGTGTTCACTGTGATCTGGTCCCAAGTAAACACTGTGAGTTTGACGCCGCTGAGCACCGAAGTACTGCAAATCAGGCTCCAATTCACGGCGTTTACTGTGGCCAGATCACAGTGAACACTGTAACCGAGATCACAGTGAACGCCGTGAACTAGTTCACAGCAAACGCCGTGAATTGAATAACAGCAAACATTGGTAATAAATTAACGGCGTTGACAGGACATTTTTTGTAGAGGGTCATTCCATGTCAACTCAACACGGTCGCGGACATGATGGCCCTGGAATTCGATGAAATTCGGTCAAAATGTGAGGAAATGGGTCCCTTACACTGTGCTAAGAGCATTTTGAAAAATTTTCATTTTTGGATTTTTTACGCTTTTTTTCGTTTTTTGAGGATTTACGTGCAGACCATTTTTCAAACGTAGATAACTTCGGTAATTTTAAAGCTAATTACAAAACTTTTTTGAAATTGTTCAGCTTGAAACGCAGATTCTGAAAATGGTATTACTTTTTCGTTTTGAACAAAATTTGTTCAAATTTTTGAAATTTCAAAATTTTTATGTTAAAATTTTTAAATTTCGCCACTTTTGATTTTTTTGAAACATTTTTTTTTGGATTCCTCGTGTCAAAAAACGTATTGTCACCAATTTTCAAGATGGGTGCTATAATGGTTTGCCGGCTACAGGCGCGAAGATACATCACTGCGGGTGCGAATGTTGCATTCGTATGGCCATTTGCCCGGCGTTAGCCCGTGCGCAAGGCTAAGCGCCCCCCCCCCCCCACCAAAAAAAAATCACTCGCTTTGGGAAACGTCTAGTGCTTGTGCATCTGAAACGCTGGAGCTGGCGGTTGCCGCGGCCTCCGCGCTGGAGCGAAGGGAGGAGGGAGCACGGAGCAGAATGGTATGGAGCAACGGATCAGGCCCAGCGGCATAGGGCCGGCGAACTACCTTTCGCGGCGGCACTTGGTGCTTGCTCCGGCCGCCACCGCGCGGCGCTCGCGTCGTTATGGCTCTGCCCCGGCCGCTGGGCGCCTCTGCCGGCCACTGTGAGGCATGGACCGGGGACGGTTTTTCGGCTGTAAGTCCTAAACCGTTCAAATTAAATGGGTAGAGTAAGCGAGGCGATTGTAGGTCTCAGTCTAAGCTACAATCCGCTCGCTTAGTATACCCCTCTAACTGCAGCGGCCTAGGAGCTAGGACTAAAAAACCATCTCCCGCCGGCAGCCCCAGGCCCCATGGTCCATACTACAATCACAAAAATATAAAACAATCCAGTTGCTTTCAATAAAACTGCATAATTGCGTCTCGGTATTGCATAGTTTAATTGTTATCAGGACATAAGACCATAACAGTGGCTGCATAGCCTTTTCGATTTAGAAATCAAGAACCTATAGTAATTGACGTAACTTAATTTGTAATGCCTGGCTCAAAAGCTTTGGCAAGCGAGGAAACTGTGGGAACCTAATAAAATTGGCTTCAATTTAATAACTGTGCTTGAAAGCATAAAGTAGCATTATACTCAGATTTTTTGAAAAATTAAAAAATAAAGAATCATTGACGCTTCATGTGCCATCAGGCAATACTTGAAAAGCAAACGTAAAGTCACCTTCTGACTACATCTTTAATGATTTCAGTTTTAAGTCACGACAACTGTACTGATTTGTTTCAAAAGTCTTCATTTTGACTTAAGCTTTTAAACCAGGCATCATAAAGTAAATTCCGTCAAATATCATGACTACTCGATTTCTAAAACAATGTGCATTCCAGCAATTGTAATGACACCATTTCCTAAACATATTTTAGCTGAACAATATTCAACCACAATCATGCAATTTAATTAGAAATTAATGGATTGTATAATGTTTTTCTTTATCTCTAGAGAAAAGCATAGACAGGGGCTGGGGCCTGGGGCTGCCGGCGCCGGCGGGAGATGGTTTTTCAGTCCTAGCTCCTAGGCCGCTGCAGTTAGAGGGGTATACTAAGCGAGCGGATTGTAGCTTAGACTGAGACCTACAATCGCCTCGCTTACTCTACCCATTTAATTTGAACGGTTTAGGATTTACAGCCGAAAAACCGTCCCCGGTCCATGCCTCACAGTGGCCGGCAGAGGCGCCCAGCGGCCGGGGCAGAGCCATAACGACGCGAGCGCCGCGCGGTGGCGGCCGGAGCAAGCACCAACTGCCGCCGCGAAAGGTAGTTCGGTTTTCGTGCATAGCTGATCCTCCATACCATTCTGCTCCGTGGAGGGAGGGGGGACGACCGGAGAGCTTGCGGCGGCCCTGCCGTGCCCCGCCGGCACACTGTGGGATATTCCCCGGGTGCGTTCGGCTGCGTTCGGGAGCCTTCGGGTGTCGCCGGGCGGTTTCATGCGCCCTCGGCCACCGGGATCGCGCGTCCTCGGCCCGGCCTAGTCCAGCAAGCCTGCCCTGCCACGCCAGAGCGTCAGTTTGCCGTGCCTTGCCAAGCCGTACGGAGCACGCCACGCCCGACCGCTACCAAACGCCGCTCCCTGTTTTCCGCGCAGTCCGCTGACGTGCTTAATTACTGGAGTGATGAGTGCACCGCACTGCTCTGTGTGGCGCTGTGACAGTGCTGTGGAGTGCCATCGGCCTTACTTTTTAAGGGCCTCTCTCGGACTGTCTGACCGGGAATTGCATCTCCTGGACCAACGATGTGCGTGTGCAGTGACCAAAATTTGTGGAGCTCATTATGAAAAATACTGGACAATGTATGAGTTTAGGCAGAAGACCTGCTGCGACCCGTTCAAATCACATCGTACAGCGAAGAAGCAGGGCCTCCGCAGGATAAACGCCGATCTGCATGACCTGTGCCGTGAAAAGATACCGGGAGTTCTTGAAGGAAACAAACTGTGCTCTGAGTGCCGGAAGGAAGTTCATCGGAAGGCGACTGCTATGACAACAGTGAAGCCCGGGACGCCTAGTCCTGCCACTGGTCGCAGGTCCCCATCCACTTCCAGCAGTCCCATGCCCTGCGCACCGGGGTTCGTCGAGGGGCCTATCGCACCGCGCCTTTCGGTCTCCAAGTCCACGACGGAGTCTGACAGTGACTCCATCAGCGGCGCGAGCTCTGGAAGTGTGTGCGTACCTACCCCGGTCAAGGTGGAAAGCGCGGACCAAGGGGCACAGATGATTGGTGTATCTCCCTTCGACATGAAAGAGGTCAAGCGCTCCGAAAAATACCGGAACAAGAAAGTAACACAGTGCAAAACAATGTTGCAAGAGACTCTTCTCCGTGCTGCTGGCCAGACAACTAAGGTAGTTCCAGACGCTGTTAATTTTGAAGACGCTGGACGGGAAATGATTTCTCAGCTCAAAGCTAAGTTCATCAGAGCTCAAACGTATGCAGAAAAGATAAAAATCTTGTCACTTTTGCCTGGAAGCTGGAGCAGCAATGACATAAAAAAAGTGTTTCCCGGGGCTACAAGCCATATGGTGCGCATCACAAGCCAGTTGGTAGCTGAACAGGGCATTTTATGCTCACCAAATCCGAAGAAAGGCAAGGGACTTTCGTCTGAAACTGAAAAACTTGTGACAGCATTCTATTTGGAGCCCGACGTGAGCCGTGAAATGGCTGGTAAGAAGGAGTGCATCGTGGTGAAAGAAGACGGCGGGAAGGTTACTAAAACCAAAAGACTCGTGCTGGGCAACCTGCGAGATATCTATCTTGCATTTTGCAAAAAATACCCAAACGTCGAAATTGGCTTTTCGAAGTTTGCTTCCCTTCGGCCTCCAGAATGCGTGCTTGCCGGCTCAGCTGGTACTCACACAGTGTGCGTGTGCACAACTCACCAGAACTTCTTGTTGATGTTTATGGGTGCTCATCTTGGGTCCTTGAAGGATGGAGACACTAAAGTCTGTGAATCTTGGCATGACATTGTAAATTCAACAATGTGTCTTCAACCAAAAGAAGAGTGTCACTTTGGAAAATGCAAGAAATGTCCGGGGTCCGAGAAAATAGAGAAGAAGCTAGTAGACGTGCTTTTGACACAGTTTGTTGAGAAAATCACGTACAAACAATGGATCAAAGACGAGAAGGGGCGGTACTTGTTAAGCACATTTGTTCTTCGCACACAGGACTTCGTGGAAAAGTTGGTTGAGGCAATACCTGAGGTGAGACAGCACGATTTCATCGCTAAACAGCAGGCCGAGTATTTCTCCAACAGAAGAGACAATCTAGAGTACGGCGAGGTGTTAGTTGTGGCGGATTTCTCGGAAAATTACTCATTTATCATCCAGGATGCAGTTCAGGGGGCATACTGGAACAACCAGCAGGCAACTATCCATCCGTTTGCGATGTATTTTCGCAATCCAGAGACAGGCAAAGTGGAAGCGGACAATCTTGTCATAATATCTGACCATTTGAAGCACGTCACGTCAACGGTCAGTAAATTTCAAGACGTTCTCATGGACTACCTGAAAAAGAAACATGAAAACTTGGCAAAAGTAATTTACTTCTCTGACGGTTGCGCGGGACAATATAAAAACCGCTTCAACATGAAGAACGTCGCCATGCATGAAGCGGACTACGGGGTACCAGCGGAGTGGCATTTCTTCGCCACGAGTCACGGAAAGGGCCCCAGTGACGGTCTAGGTGGCACACTGAAGCGACTTGCGACGCGCGCCAGCCTTCAGCGCCCGTACGAAGACCAAATTCAAACTCCAGAGGAGCTGCACGCCTGGGCTGCCACGTCACTGAAAGGCCTCAACTGCGTCTTCGTCAAATCAGCTGCCGTTCGGAAGCACGAGAGGAAGCTAAATCGACGCTTTTCAACGGCGGTGGCACTGGGTGGCATTCGTTCCCACCATTCAATGATACCGTTGTCAGCCACGACTCTCTTGATGAAGGTGCTCTCCTCGTCCGAGATTGGGAACAAGGTTTCAGTGGTTGGTGGCGCCGAGGACGTCGACGAAGAAGCGGACGTTGATGATGTGGATGCCGTTGAAGTGGTTCAGCATACGCCTAGTCCTGGAGTGTCAACACGATCCCGGTAAGTGCCACATGCAGTGGGTAGCCGCTGCGCAACTACACTGTTCACACAATAATGCATGTTTTCTCCATTACAGGGCCAAGCGGCGAAGGACTGTAAAGCCCTAGCGACATTGTCAACGTCTGGATTTCGGCTGCAATGTTTGAAAGATGTTAATCACTATGTTAATTGGATCCAACTTGTATTTTTTGCTTATCAGCTATTTTTTAGACTTCAGAATTAAAACTCATTTGATGTACCTTGTACATACCGCTGATCTTTCTTAATGAACTACTCATGACATCTATTGCGACAGCAAAACGGGGGTGGGGGTGGGGGAAGGGGGAGGGGGCAGATACAAGCCTGCTGCGCGTGCACATCGAAAAACATACAAAATTCACACCCGTAGTGATGTATCTTCGCGCCTGTAGCCGGCGAACCATTATAGCACCCATCTTGAAAATTGGTGACAATACGTTTTTTGACATGAGGAATCCGAAAAAAAATGTTTCAAAAAAATCAAAAGTGGCGAAATTTAAAAATTTTAACAAAAAAATTTTTAAAATTTTTAAAAATTTGAACAAATTTTGTTCAAAACGAAAAAGTAATACCATTTTCAGAATCTGCGTTTCAAGCTGAACAATTTCAAAAAAAAAGTTTTGTAATTAGCTCTAAAATTACCGAAGTTATCTACGTTTGAAAAATGGTCTGCACGTAAATCCTCAAAAAAACGAAAAAAAGCGTAAAAAATTCAAAAATAAAAATTTTTAAAAAAATGCTCTTAGCACAGTGTAAGGGACCCATTTCCTCACATTTTGACCGAATTTCATCGAATTCGAGGGCCATCATGTCCGCGACCGTGTTGAGTTGACATGGAATGACCCAGTATCATTAGGACACATTCCTCAGATAGCCTGCACAAGCAAGAAAGTTTCTTGAACTCTCAGTCAGCAAACTGAGTAAATCAACTCACTAATGTAGACAGTTTTTCAGATAAACACCATGAAGTCAGCGCCTACAAGGGTCGCTTTGTCACGAAGGATTCAAGGGAGGGATTCTTAACTTAATTGGCTGAGCGATAGCGAAGCCCGTTACTCCAGTGGGGTTGAAAAGTTTTGGCTGTCTGTCTGTCTGTGTGTCTGCGTGTGTGTGTGTGTGCACTACTCCTCCTGAACGGCTCGGCCGATCTGGCTGAGATTTTGCAAGGTCATTAGGTATGTCCTTGGCTCGTCACACACCAAATTCAGCTTACTATCTCAATCCATTCGGTCATATTAGCATAAAAACACTTACAAAACGGCGGAAAAAATACAACTTTTTAGGTACTTTCAACTTAGTGTCAAGTTTCATATCGTTTCATATGTTTTTGAGGCTGCTGATGACGAAAATATAACCCGTTCGGACCCTCGACCGAAAGTTCAATCCCCTTGGTGTAGATTTTGATGACCAAACGCTATTGTTGAGGGGATCACGCCCATTTCTACGGCCTGCCTAGGGAAGCAGCCTGCCGAAGGTTAGCGCCGCAGGCCAAGGTAGGTGTATACGCCAGGCGTGGATGGTCGAAACTGGCGCAGCATCGCGAAGCCTGTTACGAGCAGACACCTACCTTGTTTACAACGCAACATAAGATAATGTTCGCTAAAGGTTGAGGTACTTGCAGAAGTATCTCTACAAAAATTTGAGAAACTAGAAAAATTACCGATCCCGGTGCTCTCTGACTCTCTGCCAGAGCACCTCGAGACCCCCCTCATCAAGTCCCAGGTCATTTTGGACCCGCGTCAGCAAGCATTGCTGGCACTTCCCGCGAGCGCACCGATAGAGTGCCAACCCAAAAGGAGCCCAGCCGACAGGCACTGCATTAAGGCTCAGGACGGTCTTAAGACCTCCATAGCTGCCTGTACGCTCCTTGAACATCTTCAACACCCCTACCATGTCCCACAACAGCAAAACGGACCCCAGGAAACACCCCTACCTCAGGGGAGCGTCCTCATCCAAGGCTCCTGCAGGAAACGAACCCAAGAAGAACACGTCCAAGGTAAAGGCAAACAGGAAATCCAAGAAGCCGACAAGGGACGACCTCAACAGAGAACTCTTGGAGGACCTGGTCGGCGCCAACGAGGAGCTGCTGGCCGCCTCCATGGGGCTCAACAACTCCGAGGAGCAGTCACAGGCAGCAGCTTGTACCCCCGACCAAGCAACCAGCAGCGCTTCTACGACCCCCCAGCAAGACCAAGCAGTGCATCAGACAACCCCCACTCCCGAGGATGGTCCGGCTGCGGAAGCTATAGGCACTCCACGATTCCGTTCCCCCAGGAACTCCGTGCCCAATCTCATGCAAAGTACATCCACCTATACCACAACCACGACAACTACAGTAGCCAGTACTTCAAGTACCTCTACCTGCAGCACTACAAACACCCCGCTCTTCCACCGGCACCCTGCGCTGGGTCAGCCGAACCCACAGAAATCCTGGCTCCAACAACTAAAAACTCAACTAACTATGCCAACTAATCCTCCAGTCTTAGATTCTGAACCAGTATCTTCTGATGAAATGCAAATTGAAGATGTCGACGTACAAGACTTTGTATCCCAACATAATATCCAACCAATTCCACCACCAGTCGTAACAACAACTTATATTCCGGCCGAAAAAGGCCCCCCGGTACAAGTCCTCTGCGTGCCTCCACACCCAGCACAACCTCTTATCAACGATCGCTTCGTTATAATAGAAACAGTACAGGAACCCGGCAGCTTCTTCCCTGCATATGTTACCATCCATCACAACATAAGCACCATGGTTGACTACTGCATACCAAAAGAAGACATTCTGTGGCCCAAGGCGCTCAGATTGAAGATTTTCAAGACTAACAAAACTGAGCCGTATCCCATTATTGCTCATCTCTCCTCTCTGAATGATGAACTCATCCTGGTGCCAGCAATCCTACTACCAAAACCGGGGAACCGGGCCCCGAAAAGGCCTGCCTCGGTAACCCGTATTTTACGAAACTTTTTAGTAAAAAATTTCCAAAAACCCCCAACAATCTTTGGGAACCCCAAAAAGAAAGGCCGTCAATGATTTTGGGAAAAAACCCAAAACAAACCTTCCTCCGGCCCAAAATTTTTCGATACCCTGAAAACACCTTTATTTTAAAACCAAGGTTAAGGGGCCGGGACCCCCAACGCCCCCAAAACCCTTTTGGGCCACCCACCCCTGAAAAAAAAGGGGGCCAAAACCCCTCGCTCGAAAAAACCTCGCCCCCAATTTGCAAACCCCCTTTCCCCGCTTCAAACCCCCCAAAACCCTCCCAATTTAAAGGCTCCGGACCCGCGGCAGCCAAAAGAACCCATCAAAAAAACCCCCCTTACCTGGAAAAAGGGAAAAATTTTAAAAAGGAACCCTCCAATTTAAAAGGCCCAAAATGAAACAGGTTTTAAAACCTTGAAATGAAAAGGGCCTGGTTCCCTTTCCCAGAAACCCCAAAAAAACCCCGCAACCCCGACGGCCAAAAACCCCTTTTAAGGGCCCCGGCCTCAACCCCTGCAAAAAAACTTTGGCAAAGCCATAGGCCTTTGCAAAAACCATAAACAAAACCCCCAAGTTTTGGCCAAAATCCCTTCCAAAAAATGGGCCTTTTAAAAAAAACCCCCCCCCAAGGGGGATTCCCCAAATTTCCCGGGGTTCCCCAAGCAAACCCGCGGAGCGGCCCGGGGGGAAAAAAGCCCCCTAAAAAAAACCCCCCCTGTTGTTACCCAAAACCCGGGAAACCCCAAAATTTTAAAAAAAATGCCCCAAAAATTAAAGGCCCAAAATTTGCCCCCACTCCCCCAATGCTCAATTTTAAAACCAGGGGGAAAACCAAAAAGGGGCTGGTCCTCCAACCCAGAGGCCAAAAAAAGCAAACCAAAAACCCCCCCGGACCAAGGGCCAAGAACCCAAAGCAAAAAAAAGGGATGGGGCCGTATTTTCCCCGGGGCGAAGAAATCCCCCGGGGAAGGCATTCCGCCAAGGGGTTTAAAGGGCCCCACGGACCGAGTAGCCAAAGCCCCCAAACAACCCCATGGGGTCCGCCGGCGGGGAAAAGGAAACGGGGCCTTTAAAAAGAAACAGCCCCGTCCACAAGGGGCCGGGGGAAGGCCCCTCTTTCCCCCGGCCCCCAATTCAACCGCCCCCTGGAGTAAAAAGCCAAAAGGTGGGAAAAAACATTGTCCCTCCCCCCCTTTGTAAAAAAATGGGGGCCCAAAAGGGAACCCATCCCAAAATTTCCAGAATGCCGAAAACAAAGGACCCAAACCGGGCCCTTGGGGAGCAAATTTTTTCCTGGGGACCCCCAAGGGGGGGCCTCCGGGCCCCGTGCGGTTTTCCCGGCCAAAGGACAGGAAAAATTAAGGGGAAGGCCAAACCCAAAAAACCCCGGCCCCCGGCACCCCAACCCTTAAAAAAACAACCCGAAGCAAAACAAAAGCGGATGGAGAAGCAGCGTGATTTCCAACAGCGAGCAGAGGCAGCTAAAGTCCAGCCGGAAGTGTCATTCGCTCAGAGGGCCTCAGGAGGCGCAGCACGACGCCCCCAGCCGACTCGTCCAGCCTACTCCAGTGAGCCCCAACAACCACCGGGATGGAGTGCTGCAAACGGTCGGCGAAGCAGGAGCAGGAGCCGTACGGAACCGGAGCAAGAGCAGCCGTCCACAAGGCAGGCGCGTGGACAGTCCCGCTCTCGCTCTCGCACCCGGAACCCCAACGAGGACCTTCTAACACGCCTCCTGGAGCAAAATGAACAAACGAACAAGCAAATGGCACAACTGATCACATCCATCAACAACCTTGTCGGCCTCGTCACCACCCTTCTCAGTCAACAAAATGGGGGACGACCCTAAAGGCCACGATAGCTCACATCCCCTAAGGGTGGACTTAGCTGCAGAGCTCCGCCGAAACAGGTACCCGGAAGAGCCGGTCCGCTTGGCGAGCGAAGGAGGGCTTTTGAGTGCGCGGGTGGGCGCCACGCACTCAATGACGACCTCCGGAGCCCTGTCCGCGGCTCTTCCCGGACCAACCAGCGATCACGGAAAACCTGAAGGCCCTGGCACAGGTACTCACCTCAACCAACACCTCAATGGCACGAACTACCCCACCACTCTCCAAAATGACTAGTCACCCTGAAGCAAACATACTCAAGATCTTGGTCTGGAACGCAGACGGATTGCAACGGAAAAAGAGCTACCTCGACCACCTTATAGCCGAA